ACCACGCAGAGCTCATCAGCACAGGTAACCATGATGGAGTCCCAGGATCGCAAAAGAGCTCCAGCATGGACCGAACGGGAGGTACGGGATCTGCTCGCCATATGGGGAGATGAATCAGTGCTAGCTGAACTCCATATCAGTAAACGAAATGGCAGAATATTAGAAAAAGTCTCAAAGGCCATGAAGGACAGAGGCCATAACAGGGACGCACAGCAGTGCCGCGTGAAAATTAAGGAGCTAAGGCAAGCCTACCACAAAGCCAGAGAGGCAAACGGAATGTCCGGGGCAGAGCCGCAGACATGCTGCTTCTACGCGGAGCTGCATGCGATGCTGGGGGGTGCAGCCACCACCACCCCAACCGTGTGCTTTGACTCCATCAATGGAGAATCACGCAACAGGGAAGCGGGTTCGGGGTACGAGGAAGATGATAGCTCACAGCAAGGAAGCGGAGAAACTGGTTTCCCCAACAGCCAGGATATGTTTATCACCCTGGACCTGGAACCAGTAACCCCCAAACTCACCCAAGGCACACCAGGGACCTCTTGTGAGTGTACCTTTTGTAAATATTACACATGATTTAAAAGCAAGCGTGTTTAATGATTAATTTGCCCTGGCAATCGCGGCCAGTACAGCTACTGGAAAAGTCTGTTAACATGTATGGGGATGGAGCGGAAATCCTCCAGGAACATCTCCAGAAAGCTCTCCTTCATGTACTCCCAAAGCCTTTGCAAAAGGTTTCTGGGGAGGGCTGCCTTATCCCCTCCACCATGATAGGACACTTGACCACGCCAGGCCAGTAGCACGTAGTCTGGAATCATTGCATAACAAAGAATGGCAGTGTATGGTCCCAGTGTTTGCTGGCATGCAGACAACATCCATTCCTTATCACTCTTCTGAGGATAACAAAGAGAGATATCATTCACGGTCACCTGGTTGAAATGGGGTGATTTTATTAAGGGGACATTCAGAGGTGCCCGTTCCTGCTCGGCTGAACAGAAATATTCCCCGCTGTTAGCCATGCGGTGGGGGGGAGGGGTGAAGTGATCATCCCAGAGAATTGGGTGTGTGTGGGGGGAGGGGGGTTAGTTGGGTTTGTGCTGCAGTTTATCCGGAAACCGCAGCCCCTCCTTTTACATTGCAAACCCATTTTAAATGGCCAACCCAACGGGTGCTTGGTATGGGAAATGAGGGCGCTGCTGTTTGAAACCATTCCCACATGTTATGAAGGTTAAAAAAGCCAAAAGACTGTGGCTTACCATGGCTGCCTGCAAGACGAATTCTGTTGCCTGGCACTGCATGAGTGATCTCTCACACCAAACCGGCAGGCCCTCAATATAAGAGGAAAGATGCGACCTTGTAACGAAAGCACATTGCTGTTCACATTACACAGCACAAATTTAACGTGAAAGTGTACCCATTGTTCTCTAAAATGTCGTTTTTTTTTAACCACCTCTCCCTTCTCCTCCACCAGCTGCAAATGTTTCTCCTTCGCAGAGGCTAGTGAAGATTAGAAGGAGAAAACGGCGGACTCGGGATGATATGTTCTCGGAGCTCCAGATGTCCTCCCGCGCTGACAGAGCACAGCAGAATGCCTGGAGGCAGTCAATGTCAGAGTGCAAGAAAGCACAATATGAATGAGAGGAGAGGTGGGGGGCTGAATCGCGGGCTGAAGAGAGCAAGTGGCGGGCTGAAGAGGATAGGTGGCGTCAGATTGCTGACAGAAGGCAAGAGTTGATGCTCCGGCTGCTGGAGCATCAAACTGATATGCTCCAGCGTATGGTTGAGCTGCAGGAAAGGCAGCAGGAGCAGAGACCGCCGCTACAGCCCCTGTGTAACCAACAGCCCTCCTCCCCAAGTTCCATAGCCTCCTCACCCAGATGCCCAAGAACGCAGTGGGGGGGCCTCCAGCCACTCCACCCCAGATGATTGCCCAAGCGTTGGAAGTCTGGCCTTCAATAAGAGTTAAAGTTTTAAACTGCAGTGTGTTCTTGTTCTTCACTCCTCCCCCCACCCCTCCCGGGCTGCCTTGGCAGTTATCCCCCTAGTTGTGTGATGAATTAATAAAGAATGCATGAATGTGAAGTAACAATGACTTTATTGCCTCTGCAAGCGGTGCTCGAAGGGGGGAGGGGAGGCTGGTTAGCTTACAGGGAAGCAGAGTGAACTGGGGTGGGAGGGGGGGATCATCAAGAAGAAACAAACAGAAGTTTCACATCGTAGCCTGGCCAGTCACAAAACTGGTTTTCAAAGCTTCTCTGATGCGCACTGCGCCCTGCTTTACTCTTCTAACCGCCCTGGTGTCTGGCTGCGCGTAATCAGCGGTCAGGCGATTTGCCTCAATCTCCCACCCCGCCATAAATGTCTCCCCCTTACTCTCACATATTGTGGAGCGCACAGCAAGCAGCAATAACAATGGGGATATTGGTTTCGCTGAGGTCTATCCGAGTCAGTAAACTGCGCCAGCGTGCTTTTAAACATCCAAATGCACATTCTACCACCATTCTGCACTTGCTCAGCCTATATTTGAACAGGTCCTGACTACTGTCCAGGCTGCCTGTGTACGGCTTCATGAGCCATGGCATTGAGGGGTAGGCTGGGTCCCCAAGGATAACTATAGGCATTTCAACATCCCCAACGGTTATTTTCTGGTCCGGGAAGAAAGTCCCTTCCTCCAGCTTTTGAAACAGACCAGAGTTCCTGAAGACGCGAGCGTCATGTACCTTTCCGGCCATCCCACGTTTATGTTAGTGAAACGTCCCTTGTGATCCACCTAGAGCTTGCAGCAGCATTGAAAAGTACCCTTTTCGGTTTATGTACTCGGTGGCTTGGTGCTCCGGTGACAAGATAGACGGAACCCATATCCCTATCGCCCCACCACAGTTAGGGAATCCCATTGCAGCAAAGCTATCCACTATGACCTGCACGTTTCCCAGAGTCACTACCCTTGATATCAGCAGTTCTTTGATTGCGTTGCCTACTTGGATCACAGCAGCCCCCACAGTAGATTTGCCCACTCCAAATTGATTCCCGACTGACCGGTAGCTGTCTGGCGTTGCAAGCTTCCACACGGCTATCGCCACTCGCTTCTCAACTGTGAGGGCTGCTCTCATCCTGGTATTCTGGCGCTTCAGGGCAGGGGAAAGCAAGTCACAAAGTTCCATGAAAGTGCCCTTACGCATGCGAAAGTTTCACAGCCACTGGGAATCGTTCCACACCCGCAACACAATGCGGTCCCACCAGTCTGTGCTTGTTTCCTGGGCCCAGAATCGGCGTTCCACGGCATGAACCTGCCCCAGTAACACCATGATTTGCACATTGCTGGGGCCCGTACTATGTGAGAGCTCTATGTCCATGTCAATTTCTTCATCTCTCTCGTCGCCGCGCTGCAATCGCCTCCTCGCCTGGTTTTGCTTTGGCATGTTCTGGCTCTGCATATACTCCGGGACAATGCGCGTGGTGTTCATAGTGCTCATAATTGCCGTGGTGATCTGAGCGGGCTCCATGATCCCAGTGCTATGGCGTCTGGGCTGAAAAAAGGTGTGAAACTATTGTCTGACGGAGGGAGGGAGGGATGAGTGACGACATGGCTTACAGGGAATTAAAATCAACAAAGGTGGCTGTGCATCAGGGAGAAACACAAACAACTGTCACACAGAATGGGCCCCCCAAAGATTGAACTCAAAGCCCTGGGTTTAGCAGGCCGTTGATTTCACGGAGGGAGGGGGAAGCAAATGAATTCAGAACAAATCTGGTCCATCTACCTTTTATATCTTAGGCTGGCAGCAGACGGTGCAGCATGACTGATAGCCATCGGCATCTTCTGGGTGCTTGGCAGAAGATGCTGCATTACGATTGCTAGCCATCATCGTCAAGACGGTGCAATAGGACTGCCGGCAGGACTGAGTCTCCAGGAGACACAACATGTCTGCCCAGGTGCCTCTGACCGAACTCACTGAGGAGTACGACGATGATGGATACCAATCGTAATACACCATCTACTGCCAAAAGGCAAGGAGCTGCTGCTGTATAGCAGTGCAGTCCCACATCTGCCAGCACCCAGATAGCCGATGACGGCTACCAGTCATACTGCACTGTCTACTGCCAAAAGGCAATTAGTTGCTGCTGTGTAGCAATGCAGTACCACGTCTGCCGGCACCCAGATGACATATGGTGATGGTGAGCTGAGCGGGCTCCATGCTTGCCGTGGTATGTCGTCTGCACAGGTAACCCAGGAAAAAAGGCGCGAAACGATTGTCTGCCGTTGCTCTCACGGAGAGGGTGGGGGCTGATGACATGTACCCAGAATCCCCCGCGACACTGTTTTTGCCTCATCAGGCATTGGGATCTCAACCCAGAATTCCAATTGGCGGCGGAGACTGCGGGAACTGTGGGATAGCTACCCACAGTGCAACGCTCCCGAAGTAGACGCTAGCCTTGGTACTGTGGACGCGGTCCGCCGACTTAATGCACTTAGAGCATTTTGTGTGGGGACACACGCAATCGACTGTATAAAAACAATTTCTATAAAACCGGCTTCTATAAATTCGACCTAATTTCGTTGTGTAGACATACCCTAAGAGAGATTGAATCAGCAGAATGCACTCCAGAGTTAAACTTCAGTTCAAGCATTAGTGCATAGCTAAGTCACAGTTATCCAGAGCCTGGCCATACCTTGCAATGCCTTCTGAAGTCTGTCTTCCAACTCCCAGAAGGAATACATGAGGTCTCGAAGAGCATACGGGGTCTGACTTATTTTCTGGTTGTGTAGATTTCTTTTAAAGCAGTACTTCCTAATATGCAGCCCTCATCTTCCTTTGTTTAATCTCATTCACAGGCAGGGACCATATAATTTGGAGTACCAACATTAATCGTTGTCCTTCAGCCTTGGTGTTACCTATGAAAATGTGAAGGCTGTAATTTTCCTCCTTCTAGGCGCGCACACTGCAGCATTTATTTTTGTGTTCAAAATTCATTCTCCTTTTTTCCCCCTCTTTCCACAGTATTTGATTCTGAAACTCGAAAGACCTGCCATAGTCCAAAGTATCACCTTTGGCAAATATGAGAAGACTCATGTCTGCAATTTAAAGAAGTTTAAAGTCTTTGGTGGGATGAATGAAGAAAACATGACAGACCTATTATCCAGGTAAGAGATGATTTCAACAACTTGTAAATCATCCTAAATCAAAGGCTGGACTACAGTGTTCTTCCCTCCCTTCTTTTCTCCCAAATGGCACTTGGTTAACAGTGCAAAAAGGCTGCTAGTGTAAGCCTGCTATTGGCTCCTGTGGTCCCATGTACAGCCCCTGGGCAGATAACTAATGTGATATGATCAGGCCAGGGAGCATATATGTCAAAATTTAGCTCTGGGAAACCTTCCCTACCTTGTTCTAACCACAGAGGATTTGTGGAGGGTGAACTCCTGGAGGTTTTGAAGAGTCAGGGTGCAATGCTTGTGGGCTGAGATTCCTTTCTTCTGCATACCTGAGACTCGCACCTAAATTTGAGCTACAGTTGTGGAAAACTTTTAATAGCTCTTTAGGAGTTGTGTAGTAAGTGTTCTCAATTGCATATGTATAGAAACTCATAACAGTACAGGTCTGAACTACTCAGCTGCTTTACCTTCATATTGATTGATCTGTCAAAGGACAGAGTACAAAACTAATTTCTTTGTCTTAAAATCACTTCATTTGGTAGTCCAGTGGTAGGTATTTTATGGAAGGCAGCCTATTACCAGTTTTAGACTTATCATAGGTCTTAGAATAATTACTAATGTAAATTTGAGAAGCCCACCTAGCCAGTCTCCTGCCTCCTAAGTGAAAGGGACAGATAATGTTTAGATCACTCACTGTACTTCAAGTGCAGAGGAGCCATACAGCAAGAGCCAAAGTTAATTGGAGGCCAGCAACAGGAAAGCCCAGTTATAGGGAGTGTGTTGCTAGTTTGTTGAAGTAGTCAGTACTCGTTGGCTGCTCTTTCTTGATCAAAGAATCAGACTAGTGCTGCCTTACCAAGCGAAACCATGCGGCATGAAGAACCTAGCATAGATATCCTGCAGGATCATGTTGTAGGATTTCAAAAGCATCTTCAAATTTGAGCTACCCCAATTTAGTAATTTTAAATTGCTATTGCTTAGTGCTTGAATTGTGGGGCAACTTGATGGGAAGAGGGAAGGTTTGAAATAGTATGCTAGTAGTTTGCTAGTATAGTTGAGCAGTCTTTCAGTGTCATTTGACTTCTCAGTTTGTCAGGAATTATTGCTTCCAGTATCATTTTTGATAAAACTGGACTTTAGTATAGTTAAATTTTATTATGAATCTTGATACCTTGCACTTTATGTAGTACTTTTTCATTTGGAAATCACAGAGCACTTTTTAATCAATTAATTCTCATCATGCTCCTGTGAGGTAGGCAAGTATTATCTATGGCTTACAAATGGGAAAGCTGAGTTGCAGAGAAGTGACTTGCCTAAAGTTACACTTTGAGTCAGCATAGACGGGAACTGAATCCATGTCTCCTGACTCCAGTTCCCTACTCGTATCACTAGACTTGCTACCTCCTTGGGAGGTAAAGTGGCTGACAGCAATCCAGGCACTGGGCCAGTATGCGTACTTATGAATCAGTAGTAAAATGAAACCATCACATTTCAGACATGGTTGCATTTACTAGCTAGTTCTAAAATACAAGGTAAGATTTAGTAACTTTATTTATTTTTTCCACAGTGGCTTAAAGAATGATTATAACAAAGAAACATTCACCTTGAAGCATAAAATTGATGAACAGATGTTCCCCTGTCGATTCATTAAGATAGGTAAATGCATTTTTTCAGCATTCTGAGTAGAAAATAATCTCTTCTTATACTTGTGCCAGTCTTGGCACTTGTGACTACGCTGTACTCAGGCAAAATATCCAAAATAGCTGTTCCCTTTCATGACCTTTTAGACTGGTTAGACTAGAACACAGTGAAGCCTTGTAACCAAGGAGTAATAGCGTAATATTTTGAATCCTATGGACTGCAAGCAAAGTAGAATACAAACGTAAAGAAATGTAATCCTATAGCCAAGTAATATTGCTGGGGAAGCTGCTTACTGTCCTATTATGAATTACAGTACAGAGCTTTTAAAAAAATGTCCAGTAGTTTTCTGCTGGTAAAACGTTCAGCATTGACAGCCTTCAAGGTTGAAAAGAGTTGAATTCTTCTATTCCCAAAACAGATACAGCATGGTTAGCAGGAACAGAAGCTTCCCTTGCCCCTTCCATACCACGTAGACCCACCCTGACTAGAGAGCCAATATCTGGGGGAAGCAGCAGGTCAGTCCCCGTGATGTACTGAGTCACTGGTCTTTCTGTCAACGGGTGTATCAATTAGGGCCACTTGTGTTGGTGGTTTTTGCGATATGAGTATTTGTCCACTGAGAACTGGACCGAGTCGTTTCCTCATTTCACCTTGGCCACCAAGCACAATAACACTTGGTCACTGTTCTTCTTTGCCGCATTTCAACGCGTGACCTAGAGGTGAAAGATTCCAATTTATGAATTAGCTGAGCTATCTGGTCCCTCAGTGTATGCCTACACTGCAATTAAAGAGCCCAGACCAGTTGACTTCGGCTCACAGGGCTTGGGCTGTGGGGCTATAAAATTGCAGTTTAGATGTTTGGGCTTGGGTTGGAGTCAGGGCTCTGAGACTCTCCCCTCTCGTGGGGTCTCAGAGAATCTGGGCTCCAGCCTGAGCCCAAATGTTTACATAGCAAATTTATAGTCCTGTGAGCCTAATAAGGCTGATCGGCAGGACAACCACAGCTGGCCCCCGGTCTTATATTGTGGTATTAGACATATCCTTAGGTCAAGAAATAGATAAGTTCATGGAGGATATTCCATCAATGGCTATTAGCCAGGATGGGCAGGGATGGTGTCCCTTATTTGCTTTGCTGTAGTGACTATTCTTTGAAAGGAAAACAGCAAGGACATACTTGCAGAACAGTGGAGGAATGAGACAGGTTACTAATATAACTCACAGTATATGAATTATGTAGCTTGAGTATCTTGAAGTCCTGGTTTATCTTACCTCGCTCACCCAGACTTGGCTGAGACTGACTGAATGAGGCTCCTCTTGGAATCCGTTCTTTCTGTCACTCATACCTCTGCTGTAGAGTTTTGTGAAGATGTTGTCTTCATTGTGTGCCAGCACCCAGGGAAGTGAGAACTTAGGCCCAAGAATTTTAAATCTGTGATTTGTTTGATAACCAGAAGCCCTAATGCCCATAAAAGTGTGCAAGTGTGTGTGTGTTTTTGTTTGTTTGTGTTTTTTTTTTTTACTACTACCCCCACCTCCCCCCCAATTATCTTCTTGGCCATATAATCTGCAAAATTTGGCTCTGAGGTACTTCGTGACAGAAGAGCAAGGTAAAGCAGCACAAATGCTGCATTGAGTATAGAATATTTGAATGTATTAGCAAAGTTGTATTGCCCTTAAACATGCTGAGGCCTATTTATTTTGTCACAGGATAAAAATGTTACATTATGGTATTAGTTTTCATATGTTGTGATGCAAGGTGAAAAAAGTAACACCAGTAACTTTTTGGTCATTTTTTGAGCTACTGGAGCATTAAATGTATGCTGCTTTACCATTCAGAAAATGGTTCAGATGCTTTTTTGAGCTCAAATTTACAAATGGCTGTTTTAAAAATTAACACTTGACATACATAATTGCATGGGGGAGGCTTCCGAACTCCCTAACAATCCTGTCTCTTCTCTTCTTCTCTCCCCCCCCCCCCCCCAACCCCTGTTCCATACTTCTCCCACCCACACCCAACAAACTTCCAGGTTCACTCCAGGCTCCTTTCCTCTCCCACAGCTCCTCCGTTACTCCTGGCTCCCCCAAGTCTTTGCACTGGTTTTGACAGGTGCAGGAAATACACTTCTGTGTTGTAATTTAAATTAATTACTCAAAGTTCTGTACTAATATGCCTAGTAAGGAATCGATTTCTCAAAAAAATTATCAATCTTTTTTTTTTTTTGGTCTGTATTGTTACCGAGAAACTTGCTGACAGATATTTTGAAATAAATTACCAAAATAATTGAAACCGGCATGATGATATTGTGTTGTTTATAAAATATGCAGAATTTTGCAGAATTTTGAAATATTGTGGGCAGTATTTTTAATTTTTTGTTGCAGAATTCCCACAGGCGTAGGACATGGGATACGGTCTCGCATGATAGTCTTATCGATAAACTAGGCAAATACAATTTAGATGGGGCTACTATAAGGTGGGTGCATAACTGGCTGGATAACCATACTCAGAGAGTTTGTTATTAATGGTTCCCAATCCTGCTGGAAAGGCATAACAAGTGGAGTTCCGCAGGGGTCTGTTTTGGGACCGGTTCAGTTCAATATCTTCATTAACGACTTAGATATTGGCATAGAAAGTACGCTTATTAAGTTTGCGGATGATACCAAACTGGGAGGGATTGCAACTGCTTTGGAGGACAGGGTCATAATTCAAAATGATCTGGACAAATTGGAGAAATGGTCTGAGGTAAACAGGATGAAGTTTAACAAAGACAAATGCAAAGTGCTCCACTTAGGAAGGAACAATCAGTTTCACACATACAGAATGGGAAGAGACTGTCTAGGAAGGAGTACGGCAGAAAGGGATCTAGGGGTTATAGTGGACCACAAGCTAAATATGAGTGTGATGCTGTTGCAAAAAAAGCAAACATGATTCTGGGATGTATTAACAGGTGTGTTGTGAGCAAGACACGAGAAGTCATTCTTCCGCTCTACAGTGCGGTGGTTAGGGCTCAACTGGAGTATTGTGTCCAGTTCTGGGCACCGCATTTCAAGAAAGATGTGGAGAAATTGGAGAGGGTCCAGAGAAGAGCAACAAGAATGATTAAAGGTCTTGAGAACATGACCTATGAAGGAAGGCTGAAAGAATTGGGTTTGTTTAGTTTGGAAAAGAGAAGACTGAGAGGGGACATGATAGTAGTTTTCAGGTATCTAAAAGGGTGTCATAAGGAGGAAGGAGAAAACTTGTTCACCTTAGCCTCTAAGGATAGAACAAGAAGCAATGGGCTTAAACTGCAGCAAGGGGGGTTTAGGTTGGACATTAGGAAAAAGTTCCTAACTGTCAGGGTGGTTAAACACTGGAATAAACTGCCTAGGGAGGTTGTGGAACCTCTATCTCTGGAGATATTTAAGAGTAGGTTAGATAAATGTCTATCAGGGATGGTCTAGACAGTATTTGGTCCTGCCATGAGGGCTGGGGACTGGACTCGATGACCTCTCGAGGTCCCTTCCAGTCCTAGAATCTATGAATCTATGCCAGTCAAAGAGCTTTGAGGTGTGCCTTGATACCAGGTAGTGTTTGTTTGTTTTCTAAAGAGTATGGTATTTTGCTCTGTGATTAACACTCAACATTTTACTTTTGCAAGAACAATCCTCACCTTTTCATTAGTTTAGTGATATGTAACAATGACATAACAGTAGTGTGCATGGACTTGGGAATGAATGAACTGTGGAGTGTCAGAAGTCACTGCTGAAGAAACAGTGGCTGGATAATGTAGAAGAATGGGTCTGTGCTGTTCTGGACTTGTAAACAGATGCAATAGGCAAAAACTAAGTAGAGTTAGGTCTGGTCTGTCTTTGGATGGAATATATCAGAGAGAGGAAAAAAGAGTCTGTTGGTTTTGTACACCAGACTATTAATTACTGGACTACTAGTGACTGGAAAAGCATAGCTAGAAGTCTTAGCATGAGAATAACCTGGCCTATAATGCTTCTGAATACCAAAGCCCCTTCATCCGTTTCTTGCTGAAATGGATTCCTTTCCAACAGAGAATCTTCATTTGTTACCTTTCTACCTTGATTGAGATGGGACTCGCCATTCTAAGCTCCTTTTTTAGTACCTTAGTTTCTTGATTCCTCTATCTTTTGGGATGAATTTTTTATGCTTTCTGCATGCCCAGAAGTAAATTTTGGTTTTGGAAAATTGAAGAAAGTCTACATAGCCACTTGGGAAAGATTAGGGATTTAAAAACTACAAGTGGCCTTTAGACTGAAACCTATAAAAATACTTTCTATTTTGTTTTATGCAGCATTGGTCATATAATAATGTGACATGAAAGTGTTTCTACTGTGAAAATGGTGTTGTGAAATCCGTTATCTTTCATGCTTACACATCAAATTTGCCCAATTTACAAGTAAACTTTTCCCTACTTGCTAGCCAAGGTAATTCAACTTGGGATAGGAATGCTATGCCGTGTTCCTTGTGACATCACCAATAATCAAAATTCTGTAAGCCAAAATTTGCTCTTATATGAGCCTACTGGGTAAAACCCTGACATCAGTGAAGTCACCCATTGTCATCAGTGAGGTTGCACAAGTGTAAATGAAGACCTAATTTGGCTTGGTGGTTAGAATTTGGTTAACAGTTCTATTAATAAGCATGCCACGATAGACTCAAACTTCCACTCCTGTAGTTGAATGAGCTCTGCAGAGTTAGCAGAAGGAAAAGGGGGGGAGGGGAACCCAACCAAACCCCCAAATGCCTTATGTTGTTTGTGTTCAAACGTGGCTCCTAACTTGAAAGGAGCAGACCTCTTGAATAAGAAGGCAACTTAAAAAAAAAAAAAAAAAAAAAATCTTTTAGAGTTGAGCTACACTTTTATAATTCTGACCGTTTGACATTGTTCGGACTTCATAGGCCATGCAACAGAGCAGTGGGACATGTTTAACCCTTATAATAAAATTCTGTTTTGCCTGGTTGTTCATTGAAAGACTGGGCGTGGGTGAGGGAAGCAGCTTACTTG